AGGACAGGAGCTCGCACCCGGCGGTCGAGTCAATGACTTGGTTGATCCGCGGGAGAGCGAACGGATCCTTGGGACAGGCTTTGTTGAGGCTGGTGTAGTCGATACACATGCGCCAGGTCTTGTTCTTCTTCAGGACGAGGACTGGATTGGCCAGCCACTCGGGGTGAAACACTTCCATTATGAAGCCGGCCGCCAAAAGCTTGGCGACCTCTTCACCAATGGTCCTTCTCTTCTCTTCGAAAGATTGTCGTATGGGTTGACGGACAGGCTTGGCGTCCTTGCAGACGTGAAGTTTGTGCTTGGCGTACTTCCTCGGGATACCCGGCATGTCCTTGGGGGTTCATGCGAATATATCCCGATTCTCACAGAGGAAGTCGACGAGCTCGCCTTCCTATCTGCTGTCGAGGCGGGCGCCCACGACAAATTACATGCTGCAGCTGGGGTCTTCCAGGTTGAGCTTCACTTTCTTAGTCTCCTTGGAGGGCTTGAAGGCGGCCTCGTTGGCCGGGTCCGGGGTTGGGATCGACGCAGCGGAGGCCTCGCCTGCCAGGGTGACGATCCGGTCGAGCTGGCGCCGCTCCTCGGCAATGACCAGCGACTCGGCCAACTTGGCACCATCTCGGGCGCACTCCAGGGACTTGCGGTAATCGTCGGTGATGGTGATGAGGCCCTTGGGACCCGGCATCTTCATCTTCAGATACGCATAGTGGGGAACCGCCATGAACTTGGCAAGCGCGGGCCGGCCCAACAACGCGTGATACATGCTGGACAGGTCCACCACCTCGAACCAGATCGGTTCGCGTCGGAAGTGGCTGCTGTCGCCGAATAGGACATCGAGCTAGACCCAGCCAATGGAGGAGCAGGAGAGGCCGGTCACAATGCCGTGGAAGATTGTCCGGGTTGGCTCCAGGTCCTCGGCCTTGAGGCCGAGCTTGCTCATCGTGTCGCGGTAGAGGATGTTGATGCTACTGCCACCGTCGATGAGGACTCGGGAGAACTTCCATGTGCGCCGCGCGACGATGGTCGGGTTGAGGACGAGGGCGTAACCACCCGGGCTTGGCATGACTGCCGGGTGATCCTCCCGGGTCGAGGTGATCGGGTGATCCGACCAGTGCATGAACTTCGGCTTGGCCGGGACGACGGTGTTCACCTCCTACCGAAGGAGGCGCTCGCTGCGCTTGTCGTCGTCGAGGCTGGTGAAGATGACATAGGCCGCATTCTGGTTCAGGTAGGCGTCGTCGCGCATCGCGCCGCCAGCTGGAGGCGGCGGTGGAGATGAAGGCGGCTGCCCCGCGCTTGGGGCCGGAGTCGGAGGAGGCGGGACGTCGCCCCTCATGATGCGCTTGGTGATGGCGCATTGCCGAAGCGTGTGCGTGGAGGGTTTTGCACCGCTGTGGTGCTTGCAGGAGGCATCGAGCATCTGCTCGAAGCTCATGGTGGGTTGCCATGCCATCTTGCCGGTCTACCGGCGCTTCGCCACCGGGTCTGCCGCGGGCTCGGTGGCCGTGAGGATCCGGTTGTCGTGACGCTGCACCGGTTGGTCGGCCTTGCGCTTGTTGTTCTGGTGATGCTGCTGTCGGCTGCTTTCGCTGTCCGACTTCGGAGGGGGAACCAGCTTTGCCTTGCCGGCTTCATCCAGTGCCACCTGGATCTTTATGGCGGAGTCAGCATTGGCGTACTTGTCCGCCATCACCATGAGCGCGGCCATGGTGGCCGGCTCGGAGCGTAAGAGCTTGTGCTTGAGGAGGGTGCCGTCTTTGTACCCGCTGACGAAGTACTGAATCGCCTGGACTTCATGGAAGCCCTCGCACTTGTTCCAGAGCTCGGTCCAGCGTGCGAGGTACTCGCGACCGGTCTCCATAGGCCCTTGCACGCACATGGCAAGCTGGCTAGGGCGGCCGGGCCGCTTGTAGGTCCCCGTGAAGTTGCGGACGAAGGCTTCCTCGAAGTCCACCCACGTGTTGATGCTGCCCGTCGGCAGGCTGTTCAACCACATGCGGGCTGACCCTTAGAGCATGAGCGGTGCGTAGCGCACGGCGATACGATGATTGGCACCGGTGATGCCAATGGTCGTGGTGTAGTCGGTGAGCCAATCTTCTGGCTTCACTGTCCCGTTGTACTTGGGGGTGTCGCGGGGGAGCATGAACCCTTTGGGGAAGGGCTCCTCCCGGATGCGTGGGCCGAAGCACGCCAGCCCGATAGCGCCGCTCTCCTCCACCTCCAGGGAGCGAGCGAGCTGATCGAGACGGTGGCGAGCGTCGGCGTCGTCGATGGCGCGCGGGCCGAGTCGACTTGCAGCCAGGCCACGGGGGGGGGGTTGGTTGGAGCCGGACGCCGGCCATGCTGGCCGGGTCTGCGCTGGATCTCTGGGACGGGCTCGTCACCCAATCCGCCAGTGGCTGTAGCGGCCAGGTCACGCCGAGTCTGGCCCTGGACGGAGTGCGCCTCGCCAGGTGGCGAGGAAGCGGTGTGCAGAAGCTCGCCGGGCCCACCAAGGCGGGCGGAGCCGGATCCCGCCGGCTTGGCGAGCTGGTTGAAGCGGTCCTGCTGGGTGTTGGCGGCATGGAGGAGTTCGCGCATCCGCCCGATGCGCTCTTTCAGCTCCTCGCCCGTGAGCTGGTCCAGGCCGGCCGTGGCTGCGTGGGCAGCGCGCATGTTCTCCACTGGGGTCTCGTAGACGGTTGGGACGGTGCCGAGGGCCCAGCCGATCGCGCCTCCCGGGCACTCACGTCGGCGACCCGTCTGGGCTCGGCCGCGGCGGGCATGAACCCGTAGGCGACATTGCGCTCCAGTTGAGCAGCGTCCAGGCGGCGCTGAGTGGCGGCAAGCGTCTCGGACAGGTCCAGCATCTGCTGGCGCCTTTCCTCAAGCTGGGTTCGGGCCTCGGCGACGTTGGTGGCGTCGATGTTGGTGCCGACGGGGATGCGGAGGCTCTGCATCGCGGCGCGCAGCGGATCGGATGGCTCGGTCCGTTCCGCTGTGGCCCTGGCTTCGTCAGCCTTCCTCGTCTTGCTCGATGAGGAGGAGGCGCCATCGCCGGTGACGAAGACCTCCACATGGATGTCCATTCCCCCAGCGGAAACGCCGCCGCCGAGGGAGAGGGGAGAGTCGGAGTAGCTGAGCACCTCGCTGGGGTACTCATCGGCCGCGAACGCATCGGTGATGCGCAGCACGGAGAAGGAGGCGGCAAGCGCGCCACCGACATCGTCCGCCAGCATGACGGACACGTCGGTGTAGGAGAAGGGCCCCGTCTGAAGCATGCTCCCGGCCAGCTCCTCGAGCTGCCCCATGGGCGCCAACTGTCGTGGTGGGTGCACGACATATGCCAAGGGATGGCTAAAGAGAGGAGGAGGCTCGAGGACGCTGGTGGGCTCCAGAGGCGAGGTTGGCATGAGCGGGCGCGGGACGCCGGACATACCCAGGTTCGCGGCTCTCCGGAGAGATAATACCCCTAGTCCTGCCGAGTGTAGTTGGATAATCGATAGTACAATGTTGCTCCTGGAGCTGTATGGAGGATGAAGGAAGCTGGCCAAGGCTTGGGCTGCTCCTTCTCTCCGGTGTTGCTGTCTGGTGGCTACTCCTATGCTTATCAGCTTTCCTCTCGTATGCGTTCTCTGCTTTCTTGCTTGCCCGTATGATCGTGGGCTTCTGGGGGGTTTTATAGACCAACCCCCCGAGGGTACAATGATAATGTTACAAGTCGGTGGGTCCGTATTGTCGGCGTCCGGGGACCCGGGCTGGGTCCCGCCGAGGGCTTGTGGTTCGCCGGGTTCCCCTAGATGCGGGCCCCGCATGCCTAGGGGAACTGTGTGCCGTCTTGTCGATCGTCAGGGCGTGGCCGAGTCGAGTCGTGTACAATGCTCTCCGTCAGGCTGCCGCTTGCTGTCGTCAGCGGTGAGGGCGGGAGCACCATAGCCACGCCGGCCCTGTTCAGCGGGTAGGTGAGGGGCACTGTTGCCACGCTTCGGTTGCCACGCTTCGGTTGACCAGAGGCATGGGCGGGGCACTATTACCTCGGTCATCGCTGATTGAAGACTCGTCCCATCGTACGGCCTGGATGGGACGGGAGCTGACCCGTGGCCGGATTGCGCAACACGCTACGGGTGGTGCTTGCTTGTTGAGGAAGCTTGGTCGTGCCGGGTTTGGCCGTCTTGCGTTGGTCGTTGGGGCCGAGTCGCCGTGTCTTGCCGGGTCGGCGAGTCTGGCTGGGTTGCGGGGCTTGGCCGGGTCGAGCGATCCGGCCAAGCGCGTGCCGGTATTTAGGGGCGGTGCCAGCCCTATTGTTTTTGAAGAGGATCCGGGTTCTGTTGCCTGCCCAGGGTCCATCCTCCCGACATCCATGTTTTTCATTTTTTTGAAAGCACACATGTGTCTTTTTCACTTTTTAAAAAGAAGACTTGAAGATGGAATAAGGTTACCCCCGCCTAGTCCCTATTTCGATGATGCATACAGTATCTTTGGACGGCATGAGGAGGTGTGCCTCCAGCGGATCTCGCAGGATCGGTCGGTTCGGGTCTTTAGTGGATCTATTTGGGTCTAGTCATCGCTCTTATTTCTACAAGTTGGATTCTTTCGATCTATATTTCTTTTCATCAGCGACGCTTGCTGTTCTAGTACCCTAGTTCATGTGTCTATGAACATGGATGCATCTTTTTTGTCATTTCTATGTTCTTTGTAGAATAAATAGGAAGTTTTCTAAAAAAATAAGACAGGTTAGTGAGATATTTTTCTTTTGAAAAATTCGAGGAAAACTGGAAAACCGATAGCCGCCAGTTTTTCTTTTGGACCAGCGCGGTCAGCTGATGTGCCCGTTGGCCCAGCCCAACCCGACCCGGCGCTCTCTCTTCCTTCCATCTCTCCCCCGATTCCTCTCACCCGATTCCGGCACACACCCATACGCGGCGGCGGCATCTCCTAACCCTAGCCGTCAACGGCGGCGCGCCCCCTAACTCGTGTCCTACAATTGCTTGCTAGAGAGAAAGCTACAGGGATCGAGTTGGATGGCGCCTTCCACATCCGATCGAGAGCACAACGGTGAGGCGAGCAGCAGCGGGGCGGGCTCAAAATCGAAGGACAAGGAGCGGCCAAGGTCCTTTGACGAGAAGACGCGGACTGCGTGCTGGCGTAAGGCGGCAGTGCTGGCAGGGCGACACCCAGAGCGGTGGCGGCAGGACGCCGCTGGCAACGTGGTGTGCCGCCGCTTCTGGAGCTGCCACGGCTGCCTCTGCTATGAATACGATCACATCATTCCCTTCTCCAAAGGTCAGCTTGTGACTTATTTCCGCCAGAAAGCACTTCATTTCTTATTTTATTGCTTAAAAGAGAGGATGGGGATTAAACAAACCGCCTACTTTGTGGGCAGTTTTGTGAGCATGTTCAAAACGTTGATTAGTTTTTTATCTGGTTAGTGTCTTGTTGAACACTCGTAAGTTTAGTTCAGGGGCATATGAGGTGATTCTTACAGATACATCTTTGAGTTTAGAAATCCAACTCTTCCAAAGCACATGCTCTTTAGCTCCGAAATCTGAATGGATGAATATTTAGTAGTATGGATTTTGATAACAGTGTTGTCGAAACAGTGGATGCTACCATTTTTTTTTGCGTGTATTAAAATGCTGTTAATTTTTTTATTCTACGATATATATCAATATATCATAGGCTCATAGCTGGGTCTAAGTCTTAAATTTATCAGATGTGGGTTTGGATTTGATTAGTTGGAAATAACTGCAGACAAATTAAAGGATAACATACCTACCAAACCAAATATTACACGACTAACAGACCTGATTTTATGTATGTGGCAAACAAAAGACAACATGTGCTTACCTCCTTTGTGCAGCCGTCCCTCCATACCCATGACGCTGAAGATAGGATTCCTAGCTTTCTTTGTATATCTTGTGCAGGATCACATGCCTGAATGTTTTAAGTTAGAATTATCCAAACAACTTGTGCTACCAAATATGTCGATTAATCGTTGCATCTTTTACTTCCTGAGGTGTATGAGCTATGTTCTAAACAAGAACATCTTGCATCATTTGTTTTTTCTACCTTTTACTCTTTCCTAATCCTTGTTTGTCCGTAATTTTTTTGTTGCGGCCCTTTTGCAGTGTACCTGGAAGTGGTACAATATGTTCTCTTTGAGACTCTGATTTTTCTGCCATTAGTTATTATAGACTGCTCAGTTCAACTGTTGATCATTGGATTTAGGAGGGGAATCTACTGTTGAGAATTGCCAGATCCTTCAGACTAGGGTGAACCGTTCCAAGTCTGATAAAGCATGGGTGGAGAAGGCAGAGATGCAAGGCTTTTCCTGCGATATCAAGTTCACAGGTGAGCTAAACAATATTTTGATTCTTACATTTTAACAATGATAGGGAATATACCTGCTCTGTTTTTTCATTTTTGGCAGATGAATTTCTGATACATGATTTGCTTAATGTTATTGGGCAACAGTGTCACAGAGACACACTTATGTCATCGCTTATATACATATTCCCATCGGAAATAAAGGGTAATAGGGTATTGAAAAGTACTGCATATAATCTCTTTATAAGAAAGAAAATTAGGTGAGCTGTGGAAGCAGAATTGCTATTAGTCTACTAGACTTGACTACTTGAGTATCGTTATATGTTGAATAGCATATTCCTGGACCATCTGGGACTTGTGTTTTTCGTTGTGATGACTCTTGATTTAGGTGTAGTGTAGGGGTGCTGATTGGTTTAATTCTTTTCTACATTAATCAATTGGCCGTTCATATGTTGGTACTATTTCTGAAACGAGTCTAGATTGAATTTAACATGTGATGTAGGCGAAAAACATGCAAAACCATCTAGAAGTGCTCCAGAAGTTAGACTATCTGACAGCTTCTACTAACATAGATTGGGAAATATTCCGGCTTTTCTTTCTGTTATGAACCTTGTCTCACAATGGATGAATTTGGGTTTGGACAAGGGCTCAAAGACTGAGGATATTGTGCTTGCCCTCAGCTACCCACTATAAGGCTTGTTCCTGACAGAAAGAGAGGCTCTAAAGCTCAAGTTACAGGCCAGCTCCAATATTCTATCTTTATTTGATCAACAACAACAACAACAAAGCCTTTAGTCTCAAATAAGTTGGCGTAGGCTAGAGGTGAAAACCCATAAGATCTCGCAACCAACTCATGGTTCTGGCACATGGATAGCAAGCTTCCACGCACCCCTGTCCATGGCTAGTTCTCTGGTGATACTCCAGTCCTTCAGATCTCTCTTTACGGACTCCTCCCATGTCAAGTTTGGTCTACCCCGACCTCTCTTACATTATCAGCACACTTTAGCCATCCGCTATGCACTGCCGCTTCTGGAGGCCCGCGCTAAATATGCCCAAACCATCTCATACGATGTTGGACAAGCTTCTCTTCAATCGGTGCTACCCCAACTCTATCTCGTATATCATCATTCCGGACTCGGTCCTTGTGTGGCCACACATCCACCTCAACATGTGCATCTCCGCCACACCTAACTGTTGAACATTTCGCCTTTTAGTCGGCCAACACTCAGCGCCATGCAACATTGCGGGTCGAATCACTGTCCTATGGAACTTGCCTTTTAGCTTTTGTGGCACTCTCTTGTCACAGAGAATGCCAGAAGCTTGACGCCACTTCATCCATTTGGCTTTGATTGGATGGTTCACATCTTCATCGATCCCCATCCTTCTGCAGCATTGCTCCAAATATCGAAAGGTGTCCTTCTAAGGCACCACCTGCCCATCAAGGCTTAATCTCCTCCACCTCCTCGTGCCTAGTAGTACTGAAACCGCACCTCATGTACTCGGTTTTAGTTCTACTAAGTCTAAAACCTTTTGATTCCAAGGTTTGTCTCCATAGCTCTAACTTCCTATTGACTCCCGTACGACTATCATCGACTAGCACCACATCATCCATAAAGAGCATACACCATGGGTTATCTCCTTGTATATCTCTCTCAACCTCATCCATCACCAAAGCGAAAAGATGAGGGCTCAAAGGTGACCCCTGGTGCAATCCTATTTTAATCGGGAAGTCATCAGTGTCACCATCACTTGTTCGAACACTTGTCACAACATTATCGTACATATCCTTGATGAGGTACTGTAGTTTGCTAGGACTTTGTGTTTCTCCAAGGCCCACCACATGACATTCCGCGGTATCTTATCGTAGGCCTTTCCAAGTCAATGAACACCATATGCACGTTGTTCTTTTGCTCCCTATATATATCTCCATTAGTTGTCGTACCAAGAAAATGGCTTCCATGGTCGACCTCCCAGGCATGAAACCAAACTGATTTTTGGTCACGCTTGTCATTCTTCTTAAGCGGTGCTCAATGACTCTCTCCCATGGCTTCATTGTATGGCCCATCAGCTTAATTCCATGGTAATTAGTACAACTCTGAACATCCCCCTTGTTCTTGAATATTGGTACTAATATACTCCGCCTCCATTCTTCTAGCATCTTGTTTGCCCGAAAAATGAGGTTGAAAAGCTTAGTTAGCCATACTATAGCTATGCCTCCGAGGCCTCTCCACACCTCAATGGGGATTCAATCAGCGCCCATAGTATTGCCTCCTTGACCTCAGACCCCTCTGGATTTGCCGCAGAAAACGCCTGTTGGTATCATCAAAGGAGTCATCCAGTTCAATGGTAGAGCTCTCATTCTCCCCATTGAACAGCTTGTCGAAGTACTCCCACCATCTATGCTTAATCTCCTCGTCCTTCACCAGGAGCCGGTCTGCTCCGTCCTTGATGCATTTGACTTGGTCAATATCCCTTGTCTTCCTCTCTCGGATCTTGGCCATCTTATAGATGACCTTTTAGCATTCGTGTCTAACCGCCGGTAGAGATCCTCATACGCTCGACCCCTTGCTTCACTCATTGCTCGCTTTGCGGTCTTCTTTGCCATCTTGTACTTCTCTATGTTGTATGCACTCCTATCTAGGTATAGGCGTCTAAAACAATCTTTCTTCTGCTTAATATCCTTCTGGACATCATCATTCCACCGCTAGGTATCTTTAGCTTCGCTTCTACTTCCCTTGGTCACTCCAAACTCCTCTGAGGCCACCTTACGAATGCAAGTCACCATCTTCGTCCACATATTGTTTGCATCACCTCCTTCGTCCCAAGGGTCCTCCTTAATGACCCTCTCCTTGAACGCCTGAGTTACCTCCCCCTTGAGCTTCCACAACTTCGTTCTAGCGACTTTGGCACGCTTATCCCGTTGGACATGAATCCGAAAGCGGAAGTCAGCAACCACATGCTTATGCTGAGGGACACCACTCTCTCCAGGTATCACCTTACAATCTAGGCACGCACTCCCGTCTTCTCTTCTTGAGAGGATGAAATCAGTCTGGCTAGAGTGTTGACCACTACTAAAAGTCACTAGATGTTATTCTCTCGTTTTAAAGGTGTTAGCTACGATCATGTCGTAGGCTAGAGCAAAGCTTAAGACATCTTCTCCTTCTTGATTCCTGATGCCATAGCCAAAGCCCCCATGCACCCCTTCAAAACATGTGTTAGATGTACCCAAGTGGTCATTGAGGTATCCTCCTATGAAGAGCTTCTCGTCAATCTGTACACACCTAACCATGTCCTCTAGGCCTTCCCAGAACTCCCTCTTGATGTTCTCATTGTGGCCTACTTATGGGGCATATGTGCTGATAACATTGAGAACTAGGTCCCCAACTACCAGCTTGACCAGGATAATCCGGTCCCCATGTCTCTTGACGTCTACCACTCCATACTTGAGGCTCTTGTTGATCAAGATGCCTACTCCATTTCTGTCCGCGTTCGTCCCCGTGTACCACAACTTGAAGCCGGTATCCTCCACCTCCTTCGCCTTCTGTCCCCTCCATTTGGTTTCTTGGACGCAAAGGATATCAAAACCTCTCCTCACCATTGTATCAACTAGCTCATGAAGCTTACCTGTCACGGACCCTACGTTCCAGCTACCTAAGCGGATCCTCCTAGGCTAGGCTTACTTCCTTACCCTTCGTACTCGTCGAGTCAAATGCGAAGACCCTTGCTCATTTTTCACTACACCGGGTGTCGATGTCGTGACAGGTGCGTCACGCACCCACGGTGTGCCTCACGGTCGCCACGGACCAAGTTCAAGAAGAGAGGAGCTGCGTGCCATCATCCTCCCTGGTGGTGGTATGCAGATCTTCATGAAGAAGAATATCAACAAGAAGATCTATCAAGCAAGCTTTGGGCTCGGTGGTGGCATGCAAATCTTTGTACAACAGGGATTGTGTCCTCCGGCGCCCACAAAGTTCAACAAGTACCCAACCAAGACATCCGGTAACTACGGATAGCCAAGACCCGGGAACGACCTCACCGGACAATGGCTGTCCACAGCTGGCGTGCACTCAGCCATCCTTCGATAGCAAGCTATTGCCTTACCTACGCGTGGCACAGTGGTTCTGTGCTCGCAGGGCTCTCGCGCCACGTGGCCGGTGGGCAGGCGCGTCAGGCGGTGGACAAGACGCAAGGGGTGACTTGCTCACCCACACCGCCACATGGTGCACACCTTCTGAGACTTGTCACGCCTCGGGCAGGCGGCATCTAAGTCGGTTGTGACAAGACGGGTCCGTTCCCGAATGACGGAAGGCGATGACACCTCACCGCGCATTTATTTGCTCCCACCTACTTGGTTGGATCAGTAGCCTTTTCTTTGGCCTCGAAGCCATCTGTTGTACCCCTTGAAGTATAAAAGGAGGACCGGGCCAGAGAAGGAAAGGAGGGTTGGACCCAGGAAAAATAGCATAGGTTGGACACTTGGTAGGGATACACTGTCCTCCCTGTTCTCGGGAAGGTTTTGTAGCTCTAATCCACCCATCAAACACACCAAAAAGCATGAGTAGGTATTACGCACAATGCGGCCCGAACCTGGGTAAACCATTGTGTCTATTGTGCATGATTTAGTAGAGTAGGTCCGTGCCTTCGTGCCCCAACGACGAACTAGCAGAAGGACGTCTTGAGTCCACGGTGTCACGCGTGTGTTCTGTACACGCGCCCCGACATGTGGCTCGCCAGGCAGGGGGGTGCTTGTGCGGATCTACATGAACAAAGCCGCCAGTGTCCCTGTCGGCACTAGCTTCATCTTCACCAACAAGCAGGATGGCCAGGGTGCGGTTTCCCAAGATTGCGGCTCCACACCCTGGGCGTCCGCAGCAGCTCCGCCCATGCCGGCGGAAGGACGGTGCCCCGCCTCGCGCTCGGAAGGACCCCACGTCTGGAAAAAATCGGACTGTGCAGTTCGCCCCTGAGAGCGGCGAGGTGGGACATCATCCACGGTGCCCCCGAGTGGCTGCCACCAAGATCAA